CCAGTAGGCATTGTCGTCGTATATAGAATGAACAATCTAAAAGGTAATTTGCGAGATTGGATGCTTGAACGGATTTTTCTGTAGTCTTAAACAAATTGAACATTAAGTCACGAACTTCCTTTTGTCTTGAGCAGATCTATGAAACACGGTAAAGAGATCGACACACTTAATCGCTCATCACATACGAGCTGTGCTACATAAGTTAATGGGAAAATAGCCTTAAGGAACCACTATAAATCTGAGAACAACATATGCGAACAGCGAATAACCCCTGACTTTCACTACCTCAATACTTACTAATCTTTAACTAAATAACCGATGACCCCTCAAAGAACAGATTTTAGGGCGTACTGCATCCCTTTCTTGCTCCTAGTTACCAAGGGAAACCATTTATGCATGTCAAAACTCCACGAGAGTTCAGCGTCTGAAGTGCCAGATGCACCTCGCAACTTCTACCTAATGGGCAAATTTCGTTCAAAAGCGTTTTCTTAAAGTTTAATATTGATTTAGTACGACGCACAAAGCACAAAACTCAGTTGATTTATAGACAACGCGAGCAGCTTGGTCAAATGGCTGATTGGCCACTGTCAGCATTGCAGCTCGTACCCTATGAGCCTTCTTCAAGTTAAACAGGTGAATGAGCTTTGAAAGTCGATCTGGTCGTCTACGCAGTTCTTACGGTAATAGCCTTCAGACCAGCTGCTGCTTTGGCTGCCGGATGAGCAGTTTGCAGGCGAAGGAGGCTTATCCAACTTGCATAAAATTTGTATCATTTATCACGGTTGGAATTTACGCAAGACTGGATGCTTAACCCTTAAGTAGTCACGTGACAAAAAATTACATAACCGCATTCGCGTCAGTTCAAAACCATATAATTCAATATATTGCATGTACCTTCGACAACTTTAGCAGCTCTGAAAGGAGGAGACAAGCAAATGAGTAAGAAACAAGAAATTACATTAGTCTCTTTGTTCCTCCGCAAATTCTTTATATACTAAGTTTATCAATAAAACTATCCTTCCACAAAATCCCCATGCAGGCCCTCATCGTGATGTGGGAGTGGCAACAGCCAAAGCGTCGAAGCAAGGCGGGACACGTGCTCTGGCGGATCCTAGGAAGCCGAGATGACGCAGCATTGCACATTTGGCAGGCTAAGCATGGGTGGTACCACTGATAACCTGGATCAGTGAGTGATAAATTAACATCCAACAATCATGAACAGGAAATTAAAGAATGTGGGCCCCAGTACTTTGCACAACGTTGGGACAGGCTTCCGGCGGCGGGCCGTCAACCGAAAGATGAGGGGTTGCTAAGAACCTCAGGATGCACCAGGCCGCCAAAAAGAAAAAGAAAGGGACCTGAGCTCTTGTTAGGCACCTATAATTGTAGGTCACTGTCGACGGATGAACACATCAGCCATCTCCTCCATCAGGACATTTATAGAACCTCTGCGAGACACTAAGAAAATCAGAACTCAACGCGAACTGGAGAAGTGGCAGCACCGTTCTTCTGAACAAAGGATATAAACGGAAACACAGGTGGAATCTGGTTTATCGTGAATAAGAAGTGTTTATGAATCTTTCCCTGCCGCTTTAGCTCACCGCCACTCGGTGTGCTTCTACGGCTGGATTCAAACAAGACCATCAAAATCGTTCAGTTCCATGTCCCCACTACGGCCAGCGACCACCATAAGGTTGAAGAATTCTATGCGGAGCTCGAATCAACTTTCCCACTCAAGACTACCTATACGGTAGTTACGGGCTACTTCAACGCAAAATTTGGTCGAAAGAGAAAGCCGGGGAAAAGCACATTAGCAGGTATAGTATGGCAGTTCTTTCTTCCCATTTTTTAATACAGTTTCGCAGCGCGTTCTTAGTTTAGTGTGGGCGATTTCCTGCATAGCCTGGCAGCTTGTGTGGGATATGCGAACAGTGGTGGCATCATTACCCAATCATGGACGTTTGATTCTTGCACTTGAGTTCTTTTAGCATGTGATGACAAGTAAAGGCATGTCCAGAAATCTTCTTTGGCGTTTGTCGTATCTTTTGGGCGGTCGATCATGTTTAAGTTCAGTCCAGTTGTTCAACGCGTGCTTTGTGGGTAAATTTGTTCAAATACCGCTCTTTTCTTCTTTTCGGTGACAAGGTTGTGCTTCTCTTGCCGGAGTGACGAGCACGTTTCAAAGGTATAGCATTTAAACCAGTACTGCTTTTATGAATGTTGGAGTGTAGGCACGAAGGTTAATGGAACGTCCGGTGTTTCTAGTACACAACGATGATTAATGTTACGTTTTTTCACTACACCAGCGTGTCAAGGAATGGGATCCCGTTTCTGCAGCTCACGAATACCGAATATTTCCATCGTTTGAGTTATTTGTTCAGAAAATGCGATCAGTTTTTACCAGATGCAACCATTAACCTAAGCATCGTTTAAAATGGATAACCTTATTCAAGGACAGATATTACAAGAGAAGCAT